ACTCTTAGACCGTGCGCGTTCTGATGTGGCACGTGCTGCGTGAGGTGCACGTCCACACACACACACACACACACACACACACACACACACGTACACACACGTCCACACACACACGTACACACGTGCACACACGTACACACACGTACACGTACACACACGTACACACACACACGTACACACACACACACGCCTTTTACTGCACTCTCCCCCCCCACCACCACCACACTCGCACATTCTGCACTCGCCACCGCCACCTTGGAGGCCTTCAAGAGCAACAACAACAGAGCAACTCCCCATCGGCACCCCCATCATGAGACTTCTCCGCGCAATGATGACGTCACATCGCTACTCGCGTTGGAAAAGCAAATGGACACCACCTCCAAGCCAATCTGCAGGTGTGCACATGTCCTCTCGTTTTGTTACAATTCCGTGATACACAAGCCGGCCGGCCGGGCCCAAATCGTCAGAGGGACCCTCCTCCGTTTTTGTCAAAACGGCCCGAGTCAGCATCTTCACGGCGATATTCGATTATATTCGCGTTGAAGCCTGTCGCTGTTACAGAAGCGCTGTAGCACTAGTAGTAGTAGTAGTAGTTATAATGGTACGGCAGCAGCAACGGAAACGCGGCAGCGACAAAAAAAACACCCGTGGGGCGAACATCTTTCTTCAAAAAGTCATCTTCCCGCAGGAAAAGGAAGCTGTGCATGTGTGTGTACACAACAAGATAACCTGAACGACACACGAATTACGACACTGCAAAGCAGAGTACGGCACTGTACAACATATAGCGTAAGGATAACAGTCCATGTTGGTCGTCTGGGTCGTTTTATCCACCTCCTTAACAAACCCCCTTTTGCTTCCCCTTAACGAGCCGACCAGGTCGACAAAAACACGGGGCACCACCGTCATCAACATCACCATCACCACCATCACCACCGTCACCACCGTCACCACTACCGCCACCATCCTCCGCCTCCCCGCCACACTCCCCCAGCTCCCGACACACACACACACAACGTGACCCACACAACCACACGCACACGCACACGCAGAGACACACAACACACCCTCCCACTGCCTTACGCGCTCATCCCCGCCTCCAGCATATCGGCAATGCGGTTGTAGAAGGCGGCGAAGTCGCGGTCATGGTCCGCCATGGCGCGGCGCAGGATGGGCGTGTGGTCGGCGGGAGTCAGATTCAGTACGGCATTGTGGCCAATAGCGGCGTGCTCGGCTTCACCTGCACGTGCACGTGCGTGGCGGTGGAGGGGAGAGGGGGGGGAGGTGGGTTGTTACGGGGGGGTTCCACTTTTGGGGACCGACAGTCCGTCTGTGTGTCGGTCCAGTACGGCAGATTATATTGGCCTAGGTTAATGTTCAGGTCCGTCCGCGGCGCCAAAATGTGGACACGCCATCGGTGGGTGAAAGTTTCCCCACGGTGACGCAATCTCCCGGAAAATGCCACCACCTTTGCACCGCCCGTAAATAATCGGCCCGTAAATGTCGCCTAAATAGGCCTGGCAAATTGCTGAAATCAGCTCAATGAGGCAAACATTACGACGGCATAAAGAGGAGCAGCGCACTGCTAGTGTGCGCACACACACATACATACACATACATACACATACACAATTCCTCTCTGCTGTGTTTTTCCCCCTCCCCCCCTCCCCGGCTCCGCCCCCTTCGCACCCACCCTCAGCATGCACCTCCAGGAAGACCCAATCGATCTTCTTGCCAAGGCCCCGGAAGATCCGCTCGTCCAGAGCCCGGAAGCTATCCAGCATCCACGTCTTCTCGTAGTCAGCCAGGTACTCAATCGCCAAGTTGTAGCCAAGAGCATAACTGGCCTGGTGGTGAGGGTGTATGTATGTATGTATTATTAAGTTGGATGTATGTATGTATGTATGTACGTATGTATGTGGTAGGGGGTATGAGAGCCGCTGGGTAAGGGGTTGTGGGAATGGGACTCGGATGGGTTTGGAAAAGCAGTGGGACCCGTAGGTGCGTACACGCCCCCATACACACACACACACACACACACACACTCTGAACCAGAGGACTCCACGTGCTGTGTCTGTTACCGCCACCGCCGCCATACAGCAACCTGCGCCCCTTTCTCTCCCCCCCTTCCCCCCGGCAAACCCGGCCCCTCCTCCCCACCTGCTCCAGGGGCTCGCTGCTCTGCCCGCCCCCGGTCATGATGTCCCGGCTCATCTGGTTGAAGAGCAGCTGGGCTGCGGCCGGAGGGGGGCTGTCCGACAGCAGCTGCTGCAGGTCGTACCCGAACAATGAGGTGAAGAAGTCGGAGAACAGCTCACGGTGGGTCTTGACTGGGGGGGAGGGGAGGGAAGGGGTGGGCGGGAGGGGGGGCGGGGGCGGGGGGTGGGAGCCGTGGCGCACAAAAATGGGCAAATCAACCCATGGGCCTACCACTACCACTACCACCACCACCACCCTCACCACACACAAACACAAACAATCAAACTCACGTTGCTCCTGGCCATTGTGCATGCCGTACTCCCCCGCCAGTGGCTGGATGAGGTTCTTGAGCGCCAGATCCCGCCGTACGTAGTCGGATACCCCGATGGTCCGTTGGACCTGGGGGGGTGAGCGGAGGAGATGACGTCAACTCCGGGTGAATGGTGGGTTAGGGACCAGGGGTATAGAGTCGTACATGTTCCGTTCTGAAACCCCATGAACCCTCCTCCCCCCCTCCTCCATACCACCCACCATGAGCAGGCAGCTTGTGAAGGCGGGGTTGAAGGACTCCAGGTTGAAGCACAGCTCGTTGAACACGGGACGAAGAACGGCCTCTGGTGGGGGGGAGGGGAGGGGAGGGGAGGGGAGGGGAGGGGAGGGGGAGGGGAGATATCCGCAGGCATGGTGGGTGGAAGGGGTTGAAAGGGAAACAAACGAACCGGCGGAAGGTTGTTAGGAAGACGGGCACGCCGTCACCAAGGGGGGCGGATCGCGATATGCTATGCTATGCTATGCACGTGCTGACGGCGCCCGACCAACCGCTTTCTCCGGAAGCAGCCGCCTCAGCTTCACCCTCTTACCCGGAGCCCCTGGGGCCCGGTAATGCCGCCGGCCCTATTCCCCGCCTCCTCCCACCTGACACCACCGCCATTACCACCCCGACTTGGGCCCCACCCCCTCGCTCTCTCCCGAGTACTCCCGGGCCCCCCCCCACATACACACACACTCGCACGCATGCCAGCCCAGACACACGCAACCACCCCGGACATACATACAGAACATCAGCAGCCCGGCTCCTTATAGCTCCAAAACCCTTGCGCTTGCTCCCCATCCACACACTCCCCCCGTCTCCCCAGACACGCTGCCAGGTTCAAACCGCGACCCGCAATAAGGCCCTCCTTCTTGACGCCTTGAGGGGGCCCCCCCGGGCCCGAGAACCCGCCGTACAGGACGTGACGTACCCCAGCGGTCAGTGGGGATGTTGCGCAGGTTGTCATTGAAGCGGCGCAAAGCGGCGATGGAGGCGCCTTGGTCCAGATCGGCCTAGACGGCGGTAAACGGGCAGAGTGATGGCATCGTGGGGGCCGGAGGGTAAGACGGACCAGTGGCGCGTGAAGCATCATGGGCGAAGGCGACAGGTGCAAACACACCACCAGGTCGGCTGAGGAGCGCGAACTCCGCAACACGCGCTGCACTTCTTCTTCCACCTCTCCGCACATGCACCCACACACACACACGCACCCCCGCACATGCACACACACACACACGCGCCCCCACACATACACACGCGCCCCCACACATACGACGCTTCCCGGCATTTCCCACCTCGAGGGCCTGGACCTGCTCCTTGGAAATTAGCTGCGGCAGGCCGGCACGATCGCTGCTGTTGGGGGCTGCATTAGGAAAGAATTGGGTTTTAGGGTTTGAAAAGCTGAGCGGACAGTCAAACAGAAATGAATCAGCGCGGGACGGTAAAAGAAAATTCAAAAAGGAAACGGGTAAGCAAAAAGTAGGTAAGGTTACCCACCTTAGGTAAGTAAGGAAGGTGAGGGAACGGCAACCCCTCGTATTTAAATCTTATACTCTGCTTGCTGGCGGTAAAATATGTCCTTCACCCATAGCACCTGACCCGCCATTTCCCCAAGGGGGGCCTCCTCAAGGGGCAGTGAGTCCCCTTACGCGGTGGCATGGGATGCGGTGTCTCTACGGCACCTAAAGGGAGTGCGACGATTCCTCCAGATGATTTCCAACAGTACAACATCCACTTGGGCAGTACAACGCTGTACAAGAGCGCTGACTGGAAAGCATGTTATGTCGGAACGTGGAAAGGTACGTATCCACCATCATAAAATTAGGCGAAGGCAAGACAGACAGCCGGGGCAGTAAAGCAGCCGGTAGCATTCTCGAGTAAGGAAGTAGAGCATAAAGAAAAATGTTTTCGGCAACACCTGCGGGCCTTATCCCCCTCGCAAACCCCTTCCCACAGCAGCAACGCGCTAAGCCAGCAAATTGTCCAGCGACGACAACCTCAGTGGGAAATCGAGTCAAGCAGCGCGCAAGTTTCCAACTATCGAGGACACAAGCATCTCGGCGCATCTACTCTGTTACTCGTCACGCGTGCCACGAACGCTAATATCAAGTACAGGAGTCGCCGAGCTCCGGGGCATCAAACAGGCACGCGACCGAGAAAGAGGGAATCCCGGCTAACAGCACGCAGCGGAAATGGAAACCATTCAGACGGCAGTCAATGCAGGTGGACTATGAACCGGATGCTTAGGTATTCTGCCTACCGGGTCCGTGAAGGGTCACGTGCCACTGCTCCTTAGCGGGGGCAGCCACATTGCTCACCACAAGGTTACGGCGGGCCTGCACAAATGGCGACAGCCAAATATACCTCCGCTTCTCACCAAAAGGGATTTGACATGGGTCCAACTTTATTTGTTTGGACAAATCAAACGCGTACCTTGAAGCTGGTACTCACGCCCGAGCGGACGAGGGCAAGGGCATTCCTCTTTGCAGACGCCGCCCGAACGACAGCAGCGCCGGAAGCCTTGCTCGGGATGGTGAACGCCATGACAATTTCCTATTGAACTTAGGGTGCAATAAGTGCAGCAAATTCTCAGCCAATGACAACTACAACGGGTGTGAACATGGCAAGCAGCATCGAAATTGTGGCTCGATGCAATTGGGCCTTACGTGCCAGCCGACGGCCCGACGCTATAGTGTTTCCATGGTTTCATTCTTGCAATCCACTGGAGCATCTCTCGCAAATCATTGCGTTTGAGCTGTTAGAACATGCTGGGTAGTGCTGCCGCCCGGCGCCATTCTTTTGATGTCGAGACTTACGGCATGGTCCACTGTAATAGACACTTATGCTCTCACGATGCTCCTATGAAAATTCCAAATGACCTCCAAGCGATTTATCGAGTTTTGCCTAAAAGGACTGTGGGGACCGTCTCCGTCCCCCGCTCGGCGAAGAACCCTAGGCACCACGTTTGGTCGCCACCTATGGACCTCGGCCTGACCTGTTGTCTGGTCGTGTGTGTGTCCGTGTGTTCGTGTGTGTGTGTGTGTGTCTGTGTATGTGTGCCTGTGTGTGTGTGTGTGTGTCTGTCTGTCTGTGTGTGTGTGTGTCTGTCTGTGTGTTCGTGTGTAGGGGGCTGCGTACCCCGTAGCTGCAAACCGCCCAATATGAGCCGAGGGCTCAAGGGCTGCCAGATCGCCTATAAGCACCATCCTATCGCGCACTTCATACAAAGCAAGTGATGAAGGAGGCTAACGACCAAAGGGAACCAAAGCCTAGATAGGGACCAAAGCCTAAACTACGTAAGCTCACAATTCGCTGAACGCGGGATAAATCTTGTAATATGCTCCCTGCCCGCGTGCGCAGCCGCCAGACTCATCCAAAGCTTATACTTCCCCTTTATTTGTCCTCGCTTCCCCAGCTTCCCCCATCACTTTGCCTTGCACTTGATCCCCGGGGTTGAATGGAGCGACGAAACACACACAGCACACGTCCTCGCCCCAGAGCACTCAATCACATGTCCACGTCGGGGGGGTTGTGAGCGCGCTTGTTGCCAGTCAGAGCATTAGCAAAGCGCGCGACCCCGACCCCGACCCCGACCCTAGCTTGGTTTGTTGTTGTTACAGGGTGGTTAAGCTTCACCAGTGGCCTCCTTTCCGAGGCAATTCCCTGCTCTCCCCTGCTAGAGGGGCACCCTAATCCATTCACCCCATCCGACTTCAGAATGTATTCGTTGGGTTCGGCAACTCACCACCAAATCTATTGGTTTGTTGTATATTGGTGTGGAGTTAACACTGGTAATAATTAGGATAATAAAAAAACACTTCACAAATAACAAAAATAGTTAACTTTTATTGTAGTATGCCGTCCGCAAGTAGCAGTTTTCCTTAGGGAAAATCCGCGCAATCCCCCTCAAGCTCAGTCAGCCCAGTTCAAGTTCTCCTCGTGCGCCCACTACATGCCGCGCAGCCGGGGGAATCCACTCACCCAGAGGCTATCGAGATACCGATTCTAAACACAGAAATCAATCAACCAAACCCTCCCCCGATTCGAAAAGTCATGTTGTGTGCTCGGGGGGGATGGAGGAGGTGGGCGAGAGCAACTCAGGGGTGTGTTGGAGTAAGGGTTTTTTACAGGCGGAGCCATAGGGGCCCAGTACGCGGATCCTGCACACGTGGCGCAGGTGTTGACTATGCAGCCGACACGAATCACCGCCTTACTTCGGGGAAAATAGCCACTCTGCGGAATCTTCAAACGGTGCATGAACAACAAGCAACTTCTTCGCATCTCTCCGCCTCAGCGCCTCATACACACGTGTTTTATTCCTTGTCTCGTTGGGCCCCCGCACGCTGTCAAGGGACTAAGGAGGGGAGGCCAAGACAATGAAGGTCAGGTCTATCGTACGTGAAGATTTACGTCTCTGTTTATTTGTTTCGGCGGTTCGGTTCTTTCGGTTTGTTTTCACGTGATGTCGGGCCGTCCCGTAATGGGTCCCGTTGCTTGCCGAAGTCTAAGTCTAAGCCTGCCTTCGCGCGCAAGTTCTTTATATCTGGCTCATCATGAGGCCAGGAGCCGTTGGCGACAAAGGTTCGGCAAACCGCAGCAAGCGCATGAATCTGCCGTGTAGTTGGGCAAGGCACTGCTCATTGCCCTGCTGCCACCTTGAGAATCTGTGATAGGTGGTCATGCGCTACTTTGATGCTGTTCGCAGCTGCTGTTAGTTTTCGTCGCGACAAGGAGTTTGGGCTGCATTCGATCCAGTGTTGACCTGTCATCCCGTGCCCGCGCCCCGCCCACCTTCGTAGATTTACCAGAATTTACCGTACATCGTCTTGGACGGGATCGTAACAGCGTGCTGCAAGAAACAACTCCCCAAAGCACAGCATTACGTGCGTATGTATAGCGGTTTGGGGTCTGTTTGAGGACGGTGCAGCAACACTGTCGATGCGGGAGTTCATGATACGGGAGCTATCGGCAGCCCGGCAGTCCGTATATCGCGACCATTCGGTTTCTGGCAGGCATTTGGGCGTCATGCAGAGCGCGTGCACGCGCTGTGTAAGGCTTCATGGTTTACATCTATCGTATGGGACAACTGATACGCGCCTGGAAGTACCTGTAGTTTAGGGGTTGCCCAGGGAGGAAATGGGCAGCCCATAAAGCGCACAAGTCATGCAAAGATGGCGATGTAACCACAATCACCATACCATAACCCATAATCATCACGGCGGATGAATATCACAGTCCGGTATTCTGTTGTCCAGCAGGCCTCGCACCGTCCGTTGTAAAAAAAAAGGCAACTTCTGGGGCGGGCTGAAACGGTTGGGGAAGCCGTGCGTTTCTGCAGCAGGTGCATATATAAATCTCTGACAGGTAGCAACATGCTGACCCGTACGTGTATTTTGTCCCAGAATCCATTGGAGGTGTTATTGTACTTTCCGAGTCCAGTTCAGGCCGAAAGTTCTCCAGGGGGGCCCCATCGTGACGCTGCTCACTTTCTCTTCAACTTCGGCATACATGAAGCAGTGTGTACAAGTAGGTATGGAGCACCTAATCTTCACTGATAACTTACATATTTAGAGTAGTTAATTGTATTAGACAGCTATATTGATCTGTTCATTCGCGCAGTGGGTCACCCCTTGCGGTCGGGATCAAGTAGAGGATTCGGAATAGGAACAGCGCAGCAATGGATGTTGAGGGTATTGATCTGGTAGCGCTTCTGGAAGGCGGGCCCGTTCCTCAGCTTCCAGACGATCTTGATGACCTCTTCACTGACGACCTCTTACAATTCCTAAATGCGCCGGAGTCTGACCAGCCTTCTTCAAATGTGCAACCACAAGAACTTGTCGCGCCGACTCCGGCAGCTCTTGTGGAGCCCGTTGCAACGGCGCCTTGCGTTTCCTCGAGTTCGAGTCAGTCCGAGGTTGCGACTTCGCCTTCGCTCGCTCAGCAGCCTGCGCTGCCTGCACCTCTTGCTTGTGGGACGGAAGCATCTTTTGGGCCATTGCAAGTACAGCAAGCTCTTGCTGTTCCGCGGCTTGTGACAACAGCGGCCGCGCAACAAATGTGGACAGCAATGCTTCAGGCGGCCTATGGCGCGGGCCCCGCAGCTGGGGCGTGCGTTGATGATGCTAAAGCGCGCAGTCTCCAGGCTGCAGGGACAAGTCGTCAGGGAAGTCGTGACTGTTCCACAGACAGCTCTGACACTGACCACGATGACCACGAAATGGTGGACTCCAAGAGTAAAACAACGGGCAACAAGCGCAAGGCACCGGAGGTGAGATGGAATTTCCAGTTCGTTTGAAGAGCGGAAGTTTGCTGCTACCTTCTCGACCGCTGAGGCTAAAATTGCAGGCGACCGTACTTCAAATTTTCCTTGCCTCATGCTTGTAGGTCGACTGGCGTCAAATTGATGACCCAGCAGAGCGGCGACGACAGCGGCGACTGGCGAAGAACCGTGTGACCGCGGCGAGGTCGCGCGAGCGAAAGAAGGCCATGTGGAGTGAGCTGGAGGAGAAGTTGAAGGTAGGGATAAACGTCTTTCGATAATGCACCTAACGAGCTAAGGCGACTATTTGTCTGTTGCACAAGTCATGAATGTGCTGGTAGCTGTGGCGCTTGTTCGGGTGTTAGGTGTGTGCGCTTGCTGGTCGCGAGTGCAACTGAGCCGCTTAAATATATCACATCTAAAATTCTTCCGTGTGTTTCCCCTTCGCTGACACGTTCTGCTATCCCTGCGCCTGCCCTTCGCCTGTGTACACGCAGAACATTGAGAACGAGAACGCGCAGTTGCGTGCGATGCTCGAGCAGTTTGCGCGAGAGAACGCCTCCCTGAAGTCCCAGCTGCTCACCATTACGCGAGCTGGTGCGGCTGTCGGCGGTGCCGCGGGCGTGTCCCAGGCGCGGGCGGGCAAGGCCATGGATCCTGCCGTGATCCTCCCAGTATTTATAGTTACATTGCTGGTGGTCTGCTCGCTCCTGCCTGGTGACAAGGCCTGCGCGCTGCTCGGTTCAGTCCTGCCGCTGGCGCTGTTGGCGGGTATGCTGGGTGGCTCCAAGGGCGGCGAGGCCGCGCATCCGTGTTTCGAGTCCCTGTTCCGATTGTTGCACATGTTGGGCACCCTAATCACCGGCAGCTCCAAGCTTCTCCAGAGAAGCTTCAGACGGTTATGTTTTGACCGACATCGCTATCTGGGTCGGAGTTGGATGCAGCGCCTGGCGGGTATGCCGGTTCCTGTGTGCGACCCGGGGATAGCGAGCTCATCATCAACGCCTGCTGAAGATCCGCCGTACTTAGCGTTTGGGAAGAACCCGGCTCTGGCTGGGCCTGTTTCTGCCACGGTTGAAAAGCCTGGTGCGCCGCTTCTGCAGGCCGCAATTAAGCTCGAACCGGCGAGCTCGGGTCTAATGGGTTTTGGGTTTCGATGTTGATTGATGGTACATCTGAAGGATGGGTCTTTGGTTTAGGACAGTGATTGGTCGGATGTCTTGGCTGTTTTTGGCTGGTCTTTTTTCCTGATCCGCGGCTAGGTGGAGATGGTGAGAAGATGTGGATACGGTCGTGCACGGTTGAATGCATACAATGCATACACGTTTGTTAAACTGTGTGTCTGTTTGCTGATGTGGCGATAGACGTTCCGCTCTAGTTTTTAGCACCGAGCGAATAGAAGTACCATGCATGCCACCTAAAGCCTTGAAGATCGTTGATGCAGTAGCATGGTTCTGTGTGGGTTGGTTTCTAAGCTCTGAAACTGAGCGGGATACGTTTGTCTTTGTATATACGGCTGGAGCATGTTGATTAGGGTTGGGTATGCCCGGGAATGGGTATGGGTCGGGAAGTTAGGCTTCTAGGCTACAGGTGTATCTACCCTAAGCAGTACAATAATAACACATCGCAGCAATGATTGAGATGTGGACGAGACGTGGACGAGAAGAACGAAGCTTACTTTTTCGAGATTTTGAGCATGTGTTGCATCATACTATCCCTTGGTGGTTGACACGCATGCCAAATTGCTGGAATAGTTCCCTTGCAATACACTACTGCCAAATGGACATTACTAATCGTGTGATGCAAAAACGTTTCACAAGTTTCCTGTAATGCTGTGATGCAGTGCAATCGAGGTGATCCATGTAACCTACTCCGGATGGATGTAATATGCCAAGAGGCGCAGTGCCAGAGTCAAGGATGAGGATACTATGAAACGTCGGAGAAAGTAGGGACCGCCATGTAAGTAGCCATGAGTAAAGCTAAAACCCCATCGTAAAACATCTCTGCATGTCATCTTGACGACTCTGTACGCAGCACATCGTACACACGCACCGTACAAGAAACCAGCACATGACCTTCATGCGCACAGGAAAACTTATATATAGCGCGCATAGCAGGAGAAACGTCGTCATATCGTCATTTGTGTGTTACATGTCGGGGGTGCGTGACCCCATTCCTGTAAAACTCTACCCAAACGAACCGAAGGCCCAAGGCGAATTCTAAACGCCTAAAAGCCATTCGGAGAAAAGGAAACACCGCACTATCAGCCCAGACTAGCGCCCAAAGGGAATAACAGAGTTGCGGTGAGCCCACCTATGCTCCAACATCCTCGCCAGACGTGCTGTTGATGATCGAATCCCTCTTCCGCACGAGTATCATCATAGGCTGGGCTTCCCAATAACACGTGTTTTTGGGCGGGGCCCCAGCGCGAAGCGCCCAGGGGGGCCCCGACCTGTAGGATTGCCCATGTCCGTGTGTGTGTGTGTGTGTGTGTGTGTGTGTGTGTAACGGACCAAACATATTATCTCGCCCGGCTGAAACGCGTTATAGGTACTATACAGCATTCTCTATTGCAAGGTATCTCGCATGTAGCCAACAAAAATCGTATGAGCACAAACAAGTTTAGCTGCCTCCATTCACCGACCTCAAAAGCCACATCAACGCCTCTCGCGCTAAATTTCATCCCAAAAGCTGCCGCGTATCTCACAATGGAATTCTGAGATGACGGCGTATGATAACTCGAACACCCAGCTTGTGTTACCATTTGCCGGCATGGGCAATCCGACTTGCCACCAGCAGGCCAACATAATTTGCTTTCATTTCTGTATGAAATACACAAGCTGCTTGTCTGTACATTTACTTTGGCCAATGCACGGGGCCTCCGAAGAGTTGCAGCGTGCCGTGATGAAGCTTGTGGCAGTAGAGTGCTTCCTGTAGCCGCATGTAGACCACATACAGGTCAGCAACCGATGGGTGTGCCACGGAATAGTCCCGAAATCGCTCGAAAATACATTCGTTACACAAACACTACCTCCCACCATGTTGACATTACCCATCAATTGTCACACTTGCCACCCTTGCTACCGGCCTGTACGGATGCAGAGGGGCCCCGCCCTTTTTCCGGCTTCCTTGAAGCCGACACCCAATCTTGTCCATCCTCGACATCCTATCGTTGTGTAACTGCAATCCAGTACGCAGCACAGCGAAATCCACAAGACCCCAAAAATCTGCTCCAACCTAATACTTCGTAAGGACAAACACGTCGTCCTCCTCTCCGGGGGTGCAGAGCTCCACAAAGTTCACTTTCCCTGCACCCATCACAGCAACGCCATGCGGGAAGGGGTCGTAATGTCAAGTCATTTGTGGGGACCGTGTTACAGATCAGTTGGTTGGCAGGTTACATCGTCGTGTAGGGCCGTGTATTCTTCCTCCAAGCCTGCTCGGAAACCGGCTGAGGAGGACACCTCCAGCCGAGCCAAGAGGAAGGGGCCCCCCTTCCCCACTTCGGACCCGCAAACCAAAAGGACCCCACTCTCCCCCTTTCTCACCTCACATCCCGGAGAAAAAAGAGGAGAAAAAAGAGGAGAAAAAAGAGGAGAAAAAAGAGGAGAAGCTAGTGGAGAAAAAAGAGGAGAAGCTAGTGGAGAAAAAAGAGGAGAAGCTAGTGGAGAAAAAAGAGGAGAAGCTAGTGGAGAAGCTAGGGGAATTGAAAACAGCAGATAGCAAAGTCCGAGAATGTCCGAGGAAATTCCACCAACCTTATTAGTCAGCTCGATGACAGTGACGTTCTTCATGGGAGGATACTTACCGCCTCTAGGTGTGAAAGACGGTCTATTTAGGGAAATGCTTGCCGGTAGCTGCGTCAATTATTTCAGTCACCTCTCCCACCACACTGATTCCCACAGACCCATTTCCCCTCCCCACACAAACACACAGTACTCCCAGCCAACCTTCCCCCCTACCCAGTGCACGCATGTCCAGCTGCATGAGCGGGTTGGACGGCTCCAGCTTCCTCGCCGCCAGCAAATCCGCTGCCGCCTCATCGTACCGCCGAAGGCACTTGAGACTGAGACCTCGTCGCAGCAGCGCCCGGGCGTTGTTGGGCTGCAGCTGCAGCACTGCATTGAAGTGGCCCAGTGCGATGCTGTGGTCACCAATGACCTGCGCGGGGGGGGCCCCCGGCGGGTCGGAAAAGAGGCGCAACAGTCCGAGGGGAGAGGAGGGGGAGGGGGGAAACAGACGAACACAAAAGAGAGGATTACGGAGTGGGTTGGGTGTGTTTTGATGGGATCGGTTGGGGCATCCAGTCCGCCCGTATGATGCGGCATATGGACGTGTTGGCTAGCTCGTAACGAATTAACATACTTAGTGAAGTACCAATGAATCCGCCCACGAAAGCCTCGGGGGCATTACTCCGGGCTATATGCCCTTCCAGGCTGGGTAGACAGCTCTCGCTTGTCCGTACTTGTACACGTCGGACAGCTGGGAGAGCAGCTGAGCGGGGGCTACTTGCATGTCGCATCCTAGCCAGCCCGTTGTGCACATGTGCTCCCAGTCACATTGAATCCCCCAGTCGGGAAATCAACCCCAACCGTCCAGGGTCCCCTTCCGTTCACCAAGGGGCTTTGCTGCTCGCGGCAAATGCGGTTCCGTCCTTCCTCCGCTCCCTCCCACAGGAGGGGCAGCTGCCCCACCCGGAAGGAAACGGGAAGATGCGGTCCTGTCCAGCGTCCTCGCCCCTCGCCCCTCCCCCCCCTCCTTCCACCCCCTCTTCACCCCTTCCCCCCCCACACACACAGTTCTGTGCAAGCGCGTGAGCGACTTCTTCTTTTCTTTGCCCCGATGGGACGTCCAACGGCCTGGCCAGATGCAATGATCTTTAGGTCGCCTCTTCGCATCACAAAGTGCACTACACCAAACCAAACAAACACCACACAACAACACGTACATACATATATGCATACAGACATACAGACGTACATACGCACGTAAGCACAATTCCATAAGGAAGCGCGACCCCCCTCACGGAAGAGTACGGAAGGTACTCGTACCCGCGAACACACGCGCACACACACACACACACGTCGCGCTGCCGGCCCCACACCCGGTCACACCACAAACCCATACACACCTGACACGCCTTAGCCAGCTCGTGCAGGAAGGCGGGATGTCGGGGCATCAGCTGCGCCGCCCGCTGAAACGCCACCACCGCCTCCCGGGGCCGCCCGCAGCGGGCGTGAGCACAGCCTAGCTGGTACCTGTTGGGACGGGGGGAGGGGGAAGGGGGGAAAGACGAACCACACGCGATTTAAGCTGCTGCCAGAGCAAGATAGTAGCAACCGAAAGAACTGACCGAAAGGCGTCCGTGGCGAATGTGACGACTGTAACCTCGGGATGACGACTGTAACCTCGGGATGAAGAATTGGCGTAGAAGTTGGAAGTCCTACCTACCTAGGCCGCCAGAAAAATTATAGCCAAAACGTAAACTAGTAGGTGTAGAAAAAGTAGTGAAGGCGGCGAGATAAGAAAGTGCTGACGTAAAAGAGGCGTAAAGTTGCTGGCCAGGAGAGAAAGCTGCATTGCTGATACTGAAAGGCTGCCGGTATGCAAGTGCTCCTCCCAACCCCCAAAAAAACTAGAACGCGCGACTGACCCGACCGACCCAAACTAAACTATTCCGGCTAGCCTACCGACGCCAACGCGAAATACCAAAGAAGCTCGAACCACCTTATGGACTCACCTGGCCAGGCAGCAGGAGCAGCGGGTAAAGGCACATGCAAGGCAGAGAGGTTGGGGAATTTGTGAGCAGCGAAA